GGATAAACCAACCAGTCCAGAAAACATTCATATTTGAGGGAATCTCAACAAAATGGATAGCTGGACCATCCTATCACCTTATATAAAACTCCACATATGAAGTTTCCAATGAAAGACAAATACAGAAAGAAAAGAAGAAATCAGTGGAAACAAAGATGATGAGGAGGAGAAGAGAATAAAGCTATAAAATGCAATAGATATTCCCATCTTTCCCACCTTCTTTTCCTAGAAAAAGAAATCAGCAGTTGGCCAGTTGCATGGTGTGGGTGGGATAATCATGCAGGAATCTGTGCATATGTGCTGGAGGCACTCCAGGATACAGAGTATAGAGGTAGCATGGTTGGGAGATTGCATGCATTGAACAAAGAAGTAGTTGGTTGAACAAATAAGCAAACACTTTGAGGACTTCTTCACAACTGGAAAAAGTAGTCACAACTATGGCATGATGATAGACTAGAAGCACCAGAAGAGTAGGATTGGAATTGGAGCAAGCAGTACGAAATCATTTTGTTTTTTAGACAACTTTACTGAGGAATAGATTACACACAATTAAGTGTATCTATTTAAGAGTCAAGTCCAATGAGTTATGACAAATCAGCACAATCAAGATATAGATCATTTCCATCCCTCAAAAAATTCTTCTGGTGTCCTTTTACAGTGGATTTATGTCCCCTCACCCTCTGCCCTAAGCAACCACTGATATACCACCACAGACTTCTGTCACTATAGATTAGTTTTGCCTGTTCCACAATTTCATATGAATGCAATCATACAGAATATGTTCTTTTCTGTATAGCTTCTTTCACTACATGATTTTGTGATTCATCCATATTAATAATGCATGTATCAGCAGTTCATTTATTTTTATTGTTGAGTGGTATTCCACTGTATGGATATGCCATGATTTTTTAATCCATTCAATTGTTGATTTGGATTGTTTTGCTATTTTTTTTAGAAATAGCTCTGAACAGTTGTACACATGTCTTTGAACATATGTTTTCATTCTCTTTGGAAAATACCTAAAAGTATTTACTTACTTTACCACATAGAAGTGTATGTTTTAGTTTATATGGCACTGAAAAATTGTTCCATTTTACATTCACCCTGGCAATATATAAGAATTCCATTTGATCAACATCTTCTCCACAGTTGGGTTTTTAATTTTAATCATTTTAGTGGATGTACTGTGATATTTCCTTGTTTTAATATGTATTTCTCCGATGGCTAATGATGTTGAACATTTTTAAATGTGCTTATTGATCCTTTGTATATCTTCCTTAGCAAAGTATCTGTACAAACCATTTGCTCATTTATTATTTGGGTCATTTGTCTCCTTATTAAATTTAAGAGGCCTTTATATATTCTTGACAGAAGTCCTTTGTCAGAAATATGCATTGTGAAAATTTTATTCAATTCAGTAGTTTGTTTTTTTTCATTTTCTTAATGATGACTTTCAAAGACCAGAAGTTTTTAATTTTGATTAAGTACAAGTTATGTTTTAGTGAATCATGTTTAAAATATATATACATAAATACAGAAATAGTTTTAGATGTATATGTTAGTGTGTGTAAATATGGAAACATGGAAATGCATTTGTTTCCCACCCCTGTTTGCTGGTCTCCTTACAAACACTGACACCCTGCTGAGAGTGAGCACACTAAGAGCCCAGATACTGGTTTTTAAACTTCTCCACTAAAGGGAACAGGGCTGCCTGAAGAAATGGCTAATTCCAAAATAAAATAAAGAAAAAAAATATAAGAAGAGCCTGTAACACATTTACATCAGAAAATAAGAAAATTCTAAAAAAAAAAATAGTGTGGATGTAATAATAGGATATAGGAGTCAACTTGAAGGGACTCTCATTGGCCAAATAAAAATAAAAAATGAAAGTAACAGATTATAATCCATTTAATAAAATAGGGATTCATGAATCCATACTGATATAAACAAATAAATGACCAGTAAAATGAGATATGTAAGCTCTTCTTAGAAGAATTAGACAACTTAGAAGAATGACAACTCATAAATGTAGAAGAAACAATAGAAAAAAAACTTGTCATTTGGTGACCATTATAATGGTGATTGATTTAGGCAGGCGGTATCAGTTGAAGCTAAACCTGGTGGATAAAGTTCTGATGAGGGTCAAAATGTTGGTATAGCATCAGAATATCTCCTACAAAACTTTAATAAGTTACAAAGGAAAAATTGTGACTTTATGGTGGAGAAACTTGGCAGAAATCAACATGATCAGATGACCAAGGTTAAAATATTGCCAATAGTGAGATGGGTGGAATGCCAGGTGGCCTCTGATGTACTGAGAAGGGCACAACGTAGTTACTAGTAATGAGAAATATGCAGATTTAAAATATAGAATCCTAAACTAACAAATTACTGAAGTCTAAGAATTATATACATGTACGCAGAAAGACACAAGCAAGTAGATGTTAAGAAATTCTTATATACTTAAGATGGAAAAATTAATTGGATCAATCTTTTCAGAGAGTACTTTCATAACATAATAAGTAATAGTAATCTCTTTATTTTTCTATTTAGATCTGACAAGAACTCTGAAGTATTGATGTTATACCCAATTTAAAAATGAAGAAATAATTGAGACATTAAGTATCTTGCCTAAAGTCACACGCTAATAAGTGGTAGAGCAAGACTCACTGATCTAACCATTTGTTTGTACTGACTTGAGTCATGAAAATATTTCTGATCTTTCATTCAGTAAGTATATATGTATACATATATTTTTTTTTTCTAAGATTTATTTATTTATTTTAGAGAGAAAGCAGGGGGGAGGGGCAGAAGGAGAGAGAGAACCTGAAAATTCTAGAGGAAACTCCTTGCTGAGCATGGAACCTCAAGCAGGGCTCGATCTCATGATGCTGAGATCATGACCTGAGCCAAAATCAAGAAGTCAGACACTTAACTGACTGAGCTACCCAGGAACTCCTTATTCAGTAACTGTATTTCTTTCTTTTTTTTTTTTTTTAGTAACTATATTTCTAAAAATTAAAGCAATAATCCCAGATGAAGTTTTATGCACAAAAATATTCCTCTATTTATAGTATGTGCATATACTATAACTTGTATAGTATTAGTATAATATCTTAAAGTAGTATAATATTTTTAGTATATGGAAAAATCTAAGTATACAAAAATGATTAAGTAAATTATGATATGTTCATATAATGGGTATTATACACCTATTAAAATTAAGTTTGTTGATAGATTGCCTGGATTGTTATGATAAATGGTATAGTAGCATAGGAAGTTTTATATAGAGTATGAGCTCAGCTATGTTAAAACTACATGAAGTCTGACAAAAAAATACAGTAAATGTTAATAAAATTGACCTCTGAATGGTTGCCTTTTGGGTGAATTTCATTTTCTTCTACTTTGAGCATGTATGTTAATTTTTTTTTTTAAGATTTTATTTATTTATTTGAAAGAGAGAATGAGAGAGAGAGAGCAGGAGAGGGGGAGGGTCAGAGGCAGAAGCAGACTCCCTGCCGAGCAGGGAGCCCGATGAGGGACTCGATCCTGGGACTCCAGGATCATGACCTGAGCCAAAGGCAGTCGCTTAACCAACTGAGCCACCCAGGCGCCCGAGCATGTATGTTAATTTAAAATCAAGGAAAGTTGAAAGTATTTTAAAAATGGCTTTGTGTAATAAACACTAAGGCAAAGGGAACTCAGACGTCATGACCATCCTGCATATGGTATATATATTTATGTCCTCCTGGGCTTACCAAATACAACATACCAGACAAAGAATAGGGCAGTAGTTAAGTAATTTATGAGATTTGTAATCAGACAGACCTGGGTTCAAGGTTATTTAACTTCTTGGAGTCTCAATTTTCTCATTCACATGAAGTTATTCAGTTTGGGGTATATTTGGAACAATTGCTGCATGAGAGCAGTTATGCAAAGTTCCTGGCACAGTCCCTGATATACACCAGGAAGTGAACCAATGTGTTAATTATCATTACCAGTTGAGCTCTTAGAAGATGAAGGATTATGTCTCTAGAGATAAATGTGAATTCAATTCAAGGATTTTAGATATAGTTAGAGATTAAACATGTGTCCAGATAGAGAATACAATTAAGTAGAATATACAAATTTAAACTAGATAATTTTTATTTATTTTAAAATAATTTATCAAAGGGGCATTGACTGGCAAGGAATTCACTGTAATGGGCAATTCTCACCAAATCTCAAACGTCTGACCTCCACTGAGTAATGTAGGTGAGACATCTCATGGTCTTTAGGGTTTGGGGATATTTAAGATTCTGTATGTGGGATAATTCCACATCAGTAATCATTAAATCATATGAATTTTACCTAGATCTCAACCTAAGAAGCTTAAGAGATACTTTGCCTTGAACTTCAGGTTCTAAGCACTCCTGAATTTTCTTCTGACTAATCCCCATTCTAGTTATAGAAACATGAAACCCTCTTATTCTCTTGATCAATGATAAACCAATAGTCTTTGATTAATATACCAGTATTACAGATGTTTTATATATTATGCAAGTTGTCATGGAGAAGAAGGGAAATAAATTTATACCACCACCTTCCACTCCTACCGTGTGTCCAGGATTGGCATGAAAACAACTTAAAAGAAAAAAACTTATAAAAGAATCCAAACTTGAGTGTTATGGCCACTATTCCATACTAACCAATGGGTTATAGCACGAGTCCTCCTCATATGGATGTTAGCTCACGCTCAGCCATATTCAGTGAGGAACACTGATATAATTACAAGCAGTCCAGCAGACCTATTCTTTACCTGTGTTACTAAAGATGCATCTATAGGCTATTTGTCAAGAAAGAGGAAAGGACAAATCAAAAATTATAATTAGATTTCTCTTAATATGAAAAATTAGGCCTTCTGGGAGAGGAGGAATAGCTAAGTCAATAGGGTTCCTAACTCAGGTAGCCCATGCATTATTCATACTTACACCTTCTTGGGGTAGATACGGGGAGGAACGATGGGGTATGTAGCCCCCTGAATTAGTCAGCGCAGGAGCTTTAAGATCTGAGGCTGCTAAAAAGCTTTATCGCTGTTGTTTTTTTGTTTGCTTTGATTTTTGCTATTTGTTACCTTGTTATCTCAAGTCCTGTTTGACATTCTTCATTTAATTATGATTCACACCATGCCAGAAAATCATTTACATTCAAAGGAGAGAAGAGTGTTGAGGGGAAGGGCCCAAGAGAACACACAGAAGAGAAGGTAAAAGGAAGAGAGGGAGGGAAGGAGGAAGAAGGCAAGGAAAAGGGAAGGAGGGAGGGAGGAGAAAATAATTGGGGGAGAAAGAAATGAAAAAGGAGATCAGAAAAAAGGAAAAAAAAAAACCTCAGCAGTGACAGAAGTTAGGCAAAGGGAGTTTTGTAACTGAACATCTTACAAGTCCTGCTCAGTGTAATGGAAATGGTGATCCGTGAGCAAACATATGAGGAAAATCTGCTTTTCTAAGGCTATAATAATGTAATCTTTTTCAATAAAAATGTGTATTTCATAAAAAGCATAAATTGACTAATATATTATGTTCTTAACTCTTTTCAATTAGCCACTATGAAATAAGTCTAATTATCATAAATGTGTTGACTTATTTATGCAGCAAATTAATTGAGCACCTACTATAAGAAGCCACTGGGATTTTCAGTATAATGATACAAGACGTAGTCCCTGCCCTTAAGGACTTTGCAGTAGAGAAGACAAAGAAGCAGCAATGAAAAGGCATACAAATTTTAGCTTGTGCATGTGCTGCTATGAGACATGGTAGTGTGGTAGGGGAGAAGGGGACAAGTGATAACTAAACTGAGAACATACTCCTGGCATAGGGACCCGTGAGCACAAAAACCCTGAGGCTGGCAAGATTTTGATATGATCTAGGACTGGCCTAGGTCCAGTATAACTTTAACTCCCTGATCGAAGAGGAAGATTTCCAGAGATATAGTTTGAGAAGCCGGAAGGGCCAGATCATTTAGCATTCTCATAACCTTCAAAGGGAATTTGGATTTTATATGGTTCAAAGAGAGGACATTGAAAATTTTTAAGCAGGAGGTGGAATAGGAGCTGGAAGTCAAGTTAAAGAGACGTTACATTAGTTTAGTGGATTTTGTCCGCCTTCAACTAGAATAAAGCCTCACAGAGGTTAAGAAAGGCACAGATCAAGTATTTTCATTTGACTAATTAATAATGGAAACCATGCTAAAGGTATGTATTTAAGGCCCTTTATACTATGAGGGTCAAATCTTCCTCCCTTCTTATCCAGATATACACCTTCCCCACCACCCCATGGTGCTTAGATTATGGGCTGTCATGAACAGAATTCAGATTCCTTTTGGAGAGGAAGGAGAATCAGGAATGACTGTTTCTCACTTGCGTAACTTGGCAGGGGGTGTAGTGAGGCAACTTACCGTGATAGATAAGTCAAGAAGAAGAAAACCGAACATTTCATTTTAAATACACTAGATTTGAGATGCCTGGGTTCTTATCTGAAATCTGCCTTTAGTCATACCTGTCCTAGCTTCAGTATTCTTATCTTTAAAATGACACCTTTGGATTCAGTGTTCTCTAAGGTTCTTTGCATGCATAAAAGATTTTTTAAAAATAGAACTGTACATTTACTTTGTGTTTTAGAGTTTGCAAAGTGCTTTTTTTTCTTATAAAGAATGAAGTGCTCTTCTCATGCTGGTGGTCCTTGGACCATGCTTTGAGAAACATTTCTCTATCACCTAAGCCCACGCTACAAAATGGGTAATAGTTGAAAGATTAAGGGAGAATTGAATGGTTTTCTTAAAAAAAAAAAAAAAACAAATTAACAGATATACAATTTATCCTTCAAAACCGTATTGTTTAAGATTTTATTTATTTATTTGACACACACACACACAGAGAGCACAAGTAGGGCGAGCGGCAGGCAGAGAGAGAAGCAGACTCCCTGCAGAGCAAAGTCCAACGTGGGTCTCCATCCCAGGACCCTGGGATCATGACCTGAGCTGAAGGCAGATGCTTAACCGACTGAGCCACCCAGGTGCCCCCAAAATTGTATTACTAATGCACAGGCCATCTGACACTGACTCTGTGTTTGAGAATGTCCTCGCTCCTTCCCCTTCTTTTTGAGTCTGTACTGTAGTTCTGGAGATATGAAAGATCATGTGGACTTTGTCCCCTAACTGGAGAAAAAAATAAGAAGGTATGAAATCCATTATTTTCCTATTCATCAGCCTTTCTGTGTGTGTTGAGGAATTAATTGATGAGTTACTGGAGGATGGGTATGCTTCCAGGGTACTAACAGAAGCTTCTTTTGAATGTGATGGATTCCTAGCAGGATGAACTATAATTCTCACTTTGGAAATGTTTGGTCCTGTGTGTCTTTATCCTTGGCATCATATGCTATCAGCTGAGTTCTTTTTTACACAGGGTAATAGCTACTTCTCATTTTCACAAGGAATTCACTGTACATTTGTACTGTAGTATATTTCTGATTAACATCTTATTAACAGGCTCTCTGGAAATTAAAATTTTCTCTACGTACTGCATAATGTTCACCCTTGTATGGGTCAATACAAATGGGAAATGATGCAAAAAAAGTGATGTATTTTTCTCGAAGGATAATAATGGCTTTCTCTTAGTAATTTTGGTCTTACTTTATTTTTTCTATAAATATTAACTTCAGTGTATCTCTCTGCAGAAGAATTTTCTTGTATCTAAAAAATAGAATTACTCATAGGATTAAAGTGACTATCTCAGTTTGTGTCCTGGCATAAGACAGAGCATAGCTCACTGATTTCCTTCTTTTCTATTTTCTGATTTGCTATTTCTCTGATCTTTCTTCTCACTCTCCTTTGGAGATTTATCTTCCTCTGTCCATCTCTTAAAAATTGGCCATTCTTAAGATAATGTTCTTGTCCTTTCTTCTCACTGAAACTGCTCTCCTTAAATATTCTTCATTATCATGGCTTTAACTATTACTTATGCATATGATTCCCAAGTCCATGTCTTTGGGCTAGATATCTCTAATGAACTCCAAAACAATTCGGTTAATTCCTTATTAGACGCTTCCACCTGTATGTGCCATAGGCCCATCAAACATATCATATTAAAAACTATGAAAAAACTCTTCTTCAGCCCTTATCGTAATTCTCCCCCAGGTATTCTTTGTATAAGTGAATGAAACCACTCTACATACAGCCACATAAGCCAGAAATCTGGGAAGTATCCAAGATCTGTTTTTTGCCTCAGCACATACACAACATCACTAAATACTGATAATTGTGTTTCATATGCATTCTCTCTCCCTGTCCCCTTGGCTATCTCCCTAACTCAAGTACTCATTATCTCTCCCTGGAACACATCAGCTCTTCAGATAGCTTGGCCTCGTGGTCTCTAATCTTATTCTTTTAAAGTCTTCTACACTAAACAAGAAGCAATCTTTGTAACTACATATGTCATCATATAATCCTCTTTATTCAAAAGGAAGGCCAACATCTTTGACATGGTACAGAAGCTTGTTTGTGAACTCCCTTTCCAATATCATTCTTTTGCCTTTCCCTCCTTATGCCCTAGGGGACAGCCTGGCATGTCCTGTACACCTTATATCCTCCTGAAGAATGCTTAAGTATCTCATTCATGGTAAAGCCTGTACCAATTCCTTTTCAGAATGATCTAGTACACCCTTAATACCATGGTATACTGTGCAAACTTCTGTCACAACTCCTGTATTGTTTATTTGCATGGCTCACTCTGAAGGGAGACTGTAAGGCCCTTGAATATCAAGGCAGTATCTCATTAATGTTTGCTTTTCCAGTGTCTAGGACAGTGCCCACATATAACATGCTCAGTAAATGTAAATTGAATGATTGCATTAATAAAAGAATGACTTAAATTATTAAGTATCTACATGTGGATAATTACGGATATAAAGTATCCATATGTGGATACTATATAGAAACTTAAAATCCTCTTGGCAATATTTTATTTCGTTCTCCAGTTTCAGGTAGTCAATAAATTTATCTTAAAGGCTTCAGTTAATTTTTTAACCACTGTATTTTTTAACTTCTAAACTTTTCACTCCTCCAAAGTTTCAGGATATTTATTCCTTGAGCTTCTTTATTCTGCCCATGGAAATACATGGGCTTTGAATCCTTGACTAGGCTGTCAGCCAGAAACCATAGGCATATATCGTTCCTTCACTTATTAACAGAGAACTACATTGTTCATGCATTAACAATTCACTTCTCCTCTTTTAAGTAAAGAACGAAATGTGATCTGATAAATGAGTTTTGGATATTTCTCTCCAAAACTGCCCATTGAGAAAATACACACACATACACATATAAGACTGACACACATAAGAGAGACAATCAGAAAAATTTTCAAGAAATTCTCTGTTTATGTTTTATTATGTGAATCTAAAGTCAGCACCTCAGTCCAAGTCATTATTATATTAGAAGGTTCACAGAACTTTATGAGTGTATCATAGTAAAGATGTGCTGCCCCCAAATCCCAAAGCTTCTATCAGACTCCTCTTCAAGGCCACTTTTACTTTGGTGTCTGTTTTCCCTTACTTCCAACACCCCATGTCAAATCTCAGGTACTACATGGAGAGGACTCAGCACAGTGTAGGAAGGTTGACAGAAGAGTTTTCCTTATCTACCATCACCCAACTTAGAATTATCTAAGGAGGAAAGAAAAAAATCAATGCCAATTTTCAACCCACTGTCTCATGAAGATGATGCTCTGCCTCCTCCAAGCTTCACAAATCCATCTGGGACAAGATAGAGATCCAGGAACCCATCACCATCCAAATACTTGAGGGGTATAATTTGCATTGTGGTCCCAGGAGTACATTTGTTCTTATTACTACACAAGTTTCATATGTATGGATTCATCTGGGTATTAAGTCATCATTTGCCAGCTCCTTTTCTTCTGAATGTCCATCCCCAGGGCCCAGAGAAATGGAGACAGAAAGACAAACAATTTTGGTTCTCCTGGTAGAGATGTATGTCCTTGTCTCCTCTCCCCCAGGGATACTCAGAGACAATCTGGGTGCGCTTGGGTGAAGACAAGCTTGCTATAAAACCTTTACTGTTGGTGTTCACGGTGAGCAGGCCCCAGTACCTACATCAGCCTGTGTCGAGGGAACAGGGACAAGCCCTGCACCTCAAAGTCTCTCTTTCAGAGACAGTTGGAGGGTGCAAGATCATCAACTCTCACCTTCAAAATCTCTGCTGACTTCTGTGCAGTTTCTTCTAAATCTAATCCTATCTCTAAGATAAGACAAAGGCTGGTATCACAGTGAGTAAGGGGCCTTTTTCAAAGTGTGGTAGTTGAGAGAAGGTGGGGCCTGGAGGAAGGAAGAGCTTCAGAAATTAGCATCCTGAACAAGAGGTACAAGGTCAACTTATGGGCAGGCAGCTTTCTGGTCTTAAGATAGGGTTGAAATTTTCAGAGCTGGAATCATAAGCTGCATATTGAGAATGATCAAGTATATCATGAGTTGTCATATAATAGGTGTATATAATCAGTTCTATGGAACATTTCAGGATTCCGTTTCTGTCATCCCTGTGGCCATATGGTTGGTGGAATGGCAGCCAGAAAAAATGAAAGAAGAGTCAAAGATTTGATTAAATTCTGGGATAGGCACTTTGGATGTTATTCCTAATGTAATGCCTTCCATCCATCCATCCATCCATCCATCCATCCATCCATCCATCCATCCAACAAATGGGTGCTATATTAGGTACTGTCCAAATGCAGGGGGGTCCAGAAATAGCATCTACACAGAGCCAGGGAAGCAGTTCTGCAAGAGGGTGGGGTGCGGCAGGAATAGAAACATTATATAGTTAAGTCTTCACATGATAACCACTTGCCCTGACCCTATACCATAAATTACTTCTATGAATGCTGACCAGATTAGTGATGTTGCTCTGTTCGTGCTTAAAAGGGAAACAGTCAGATTTCCCTGTGCAGCATCAGGAAGTAAAAAAGTTAGTGCCAACTTCATTTGCTAAAGCCCTAAAGCTAGTGAACAGAGAAGGAAACAGATCTCTTTGAGGTTACATTTATAAATCTTATTCCTTAATTCATTCATTCATTTATTTACTCTACCATTTATTGAGCACCTGCTATGTGCAATGTACTCCACAAGTTATAAAATAAAAGCAAAACAAATGAAAAAAAGAAAATGGGAACAAAATTTGAAAACTAAACCAATTAGAAAGTAAACATATATGAGAATATGGCTATGGGCCCTTTCCCCCAAATGAAATAATTTGTCATTCTGGAAAATAAATTATTATGTGACTGCCATCATGTAGTAAAAATAAGGGTCTTGTGATCAAAGTTAAATAAAATTCTGTAGACATCAAAATAGTACATGCAACCTTGTGCTCACTTACACTACTTGAATAATTTTCTTTCTGCTTTACTGTGGATTAAAGGATTTGACGTAATGGCTCTGAAAAGGATCGCCAGCTGACGTAACACACAGGATATACTTTAAACCCCCTCTTTCTGTTTGAGAACTAACCCAGACCTGCGTTTGCTCCTCAGCACACAGCCTACTGCAGCAGCAGCAACTGATACATACTGCTGCCAGGGAATAACGGAAAACCAAACATGGGTCACAGAATTCATTCTCCTGGGATTCCCGCTCAGCCCAAAGCTGCAGGTGTTCCTCTTTGAGCTCTTCTCCCTGTTCTATGCCTTCACCCTGCTGGGGAACAGCATCATCCTGGGGCTCATCTGGCTGCACACCCCCATGTACTTCTTCCTCTTCCACCTGGCCATCATCGACATAGCCTATGCTTCAAATAATGTCCCAAAGATGCTGGCAAACCTCCTCAACAAGGAAAAAACTATCTCCTTTGTCCCATGCATAATGCAGACGTTTTTATACATGGCTTTTGCTCACACTGAGTGTCTCATCTTAGTAATGATGTCCTATGATCGGTACGTGGAGATCTGCCACCCCTACATTACTCTGTCATCATGAGCTGGAGAGTGTCCATTCAGGCTGTCACTTCCGGGGCATGTGGCTCCCTGCTGGCCCTGGTCCATGTGGCTCTCATCCTGAGGCTGCCCTTCTGTGGGCCTCGTGAAATCAACCACTTCTTCTGTGAAATCCTGTCTGTCCTCAAGCTGCCTGTGCTGACACGAGGCTCAACCACGTGGTCATTTTTGCTGCTTCTGTGTTTATCTTAGTCGGGCCCCTCTGCTTGGTGCTGTTGTCCTACTCACGCATCCTATTTGCCATCCTGAGGATCCGGTCCGGGGAGGGCGCAGAAAGGCCTTCTCCTCCTGTTCCTCCCACCTCTGTGTGGTGGGGCTCTTCTTTGGTAGTGCCATTGTCATGTGCACGGCCCCCAAATCCCACCACCCTGAGGAGCAGCAGAAGATCCTTTCCCTGTTTTATAGCCTTTTCAACCCTATGCTGAACCCACTGATCTACAGCCTGTGGAACGCAGAGGTCAAGGGTGCCCTGAAGAGAGTGCTGTGGAAGGAGAGATCAATGTGAGGGATGCCAGGGACAGTCTTAAAGGTGGAAGACCTGTTTTCGATGAGATTTGGAGGAAAGGTAATAGAAATGCTTTAAGAATCTAATGTCTCAGATTTTCAATATTAAAAATATATATTGGTCAGATTCTGTCCCTAGACATGGGGTACTTCCAGACCACAAAGCACAGGCCATACAAGAAGAATTGTGTACTGGTGAAGCACTGAGCAGAGTCATGGACTCCTCTGGCCAGTTCCCAGTGCTACCTAAGATCCAGTTTCTTTCCTTTTGAGGCTTTTTTTCTCTCACATCTCCCTTAAGATTTCCATCTCCCTTATTGCTGTAAGTATATGCTAATAATGCCATAATATATTCTGTACAATAGTGCACCTCTAATAAGAGGATAAATACTGACCTTGTTACGCAGTCCCCTCCTTGGAAATGCACTAAGGAATTTCAAGTCTAAGGATGATGACATTAGTTCTGAAAAGTTATCTAAATCTGAGCCCAAGGAATCTATTTCTGTGAAAAGTAAAGTTTAATTTTATGGATTTTTTATATGTATATGAGAGGCAGAGAGATATCAGGATCTTTGTTTCTTTTTATTTAATTCTGCTCCATTTAATTTAAGTGAGTTTGTGTTTAGAATAAATATGAGAGTCAGTTATTCGGGAGAGTTTCCTTTTCCAGTGTTCAGATTACAAAGCCAGGTGTAGGTAATAATTGACCGTTAGGATGATGGCATAAAATATCACAAGAGTAGGGGGACCTGGGTGGCTCAGTCAGTTAAGCATCTGCCTTCGGCTCAGGTCATGATCTCAGGGTTCTGGGATTGAGCCCCGCATTGGGCTCCCTGCTCAGTGGCGAGTCTGCTTCTCCCTCTCCCTCTGTGCTCTCGCCCTCTGTGTTCTTTCTCTCTCTCACTCTCAAATAAATAAAATCTTAAAAAAATATATCACAAGAGTAAGAAAATCTTGTAAAAGGAAGACATGAAGGGGGGCCAGTAGCTTAACATAATGATGTAGACTCATGTTTAGAACCACTAACACGACAAAGTCCGGTAAAGACTTGTAGGAACCTCAACAAAATTCCAAGACCATCTGTTCCAGGCAATATTGATCACTTATTTTGGGCCCAAGTGGTCAGAATGATGAGGAAGAGTAATTTTTTTTTTCTTTTTAACACAAGTTTGGGAACTAAGTGGCCAAAAGAGTATGACAACAGTGATTTCTTTAACATGTTAAGTATGTCATCTTTTGAATTCTCTTCCTCTCTGGTAGGCTCGTGTGCCATTCAGGTGTATGATTTATGTGATTATATATTATAATCCATGTTCTGTAGATCTATTTTTTTCACATCCTCTCATGTATCAATATCAGTCCCCATTTTTCTTCTTCCATGAAATTAAGATACACCAGGGAAACCTTTGCCTTCCATCTCTCTCCTAATGCATGATTTTCCTTTTGCTTCTCAAAAAGCCTTGTTGCTGACTATTCATCTCCTTGACTATTCTACTCATTAGTTAACTTAGGCAACACATTTTGTCTCTGGCCATTATCTGAGTCTCCTTATCTCCACAGTATCAGGACATTGCTTGCTCAGTACCGCTTTGCTTGTTCTGCTCCCTCCCTCTTTACCCCCTGACCTTCCTCCCCTCTCCCCCCACCAAAAACAATAATTTGAATTAAAAAAATATTAGCTCTAAATGTAACAATAAGCACGTGCGCTACTGTGGGACCTATTTTAAAAGTAGAAAAAAAACAAGCAATATTTTTATAAAAATGATGTTTTAACTATACTTAGAAAATTATTATTCACTAAAATATGTATACCTTAAATTAAGGTTAAAATCCAAAGAGGGAAGAAGAAGAGGCAAATATAGGATAATGTGTCTCACAGAAAATATAAGCCATAGGTTTGGATTCAGAATGTTTCTACAAGGACCCATTAGAAAAATCAGGGGATTGCATTCACTTTTATGTCAGTTCAAAAAATACTTGAGACAACATAGACCAGAAAGACCAAGCTTTTGCCAAGATAACTGGGATAGATGAGTTATAAAGAGATGTCTGCCAGCAGGTCTCAGGAGAGGCTCTGATTCAAAAAGAGAAAACAAAACCAAAAACTGTATTTTGTGAAGAAATTAAAGAAAATGCCTGAGTGTATGAGAGACTACTCTTAAGTGTTTCAATATTTGAGTTACAGGACTTTAATAAACAGATTATATTTTGTTGTTATGACTTCTTTTTATATATATTCTTTTAATGTTAGTCACAGTTTCCAGAGGGCTGAGGGTGACAGGAGTCTGCTGGGTGCTTCCCAGATGTTATCGCATCTTTCCCCAGTGACACTGGAATGTAGATACGGTGAAGTAACAGCGGACTTCTCCTCAGCAAAACAGATGCCAGAAGAGAACATTCAAAATGATGGGGGGAGGCATCACTCTACGATTTTACACTTAGCCAAAAATTCATTCAGGAATAAGAGAACCAAACGAGAGGAAATCTTATGAGATAAAGCCTAGCAAAATGTATCCCCCACAGGCCTTCAGTGGAAGAACTCTAAACCGATGTACTTGGATCTTTTTTGAAGTGAAAGTATATGATGTAAGGAAAACATGCCGAGCACACAAGTTGCTAAAACATGTTAGTAAATGTAGCTGTTAATGTAGACAAAACAGCTTTTTATATGAGACAAGGAAAAAGGAAATGCTTATCAGCATTGAAAGTTTGATTAAGTAATACCAGTGAGTCATTAAATCAAAAGAAGTCCCTCGTCATGGCTAGCAAGAAGATGAAAATCTTGAATAATTGTAGACTTCATTAGAAAAATTTAGAATTAACGTGTGTGTTAAAAATTTAAAGGGGTGCTTGGGTGGCTCAGTTGGTTAAGCATCTGCATTTGGCTCAGGTCATGATCCCAGAGTGCTGGGATCAAGATCGAGCCCCACATCAGGTTCCCTGCTCAGTGGGGAGTCTGCTTCTCCCTTTCCCAATGCCAACCCCACTTGGGCTCTCTCTCTCAAATAAATAAACAAAATCTTTTTAAAAAAATTTAAAGGTAAATCATCTTTGCTTCCTCTGAAACCTTACCTCATTAGGTGGTTGTAGTGACTTCGAAGTATACCCACCCTGCAGTGATGCCATGGACTTCTAGCCACAGACAAGGACCACTGTTCTGGTGCACAAAGCTCCTGAATTCTGTTGCCAACTGGGTCAGATCAGTGTCTGTGCAGCTCGGCTGCCCTGACTCCAGTAGTCCTGACCCCAGCAGTGCAGTGCCTCACTCGCCACAGAGGACTGTTCCCAAAGGATTTGAGGCAAGAGCCAGTTTCACAGGAGCGTTAGAAGAGGCACCTTGGAAATGGGCACAGCTAGCTAGGAGGTTGGGGATTTCCTGATATGGCCAGCAGGTCTGATGTTCTAGAGTAAAGTAAGCTAGCTGAGTTGGATTGTGATTGGTGCATGTTAGGATTCCTCTGCAGGTGTTTCCTGCAAGTGCAGGACTTAGGTTTAATTTTCAACGTGGGCCAGACCACTGGGGCAGCCTCTGTGCTATGGGTCCTGATATACGAATTAATTATCACAAAATATGCTAGTGAGGGGGTCAAATGGGGTGATCTTTACCTGAAGAGGCAGAATGAGCACAGTTTTGAGGAGTGATGAGGGATAGAAACAGAAAAATGTTCACCGTTAGCCCAGAAGGCTGACCTATAGCCTGCATAGTTCTGATAAGGATCAAATACATACTGGTTGCTACATTCTTCAAGGGACTCATGACTGCCTGTACATCTCACCGCTAGTTAATATCCAGCTGAATGATAAGCACCAGAGAAATCGTGCAAAAGTAGTTTTACGAGTAGAAATTTGAGGAAACATTTATGATCTAATACTCCCTGCATGTCCCCTTAAGCACTAATCATATAACCACCAGCTTCATACAGCAAAAGTGAAGCTCTTATTGCTCATGGGTCCTGTCCCCATGCTACTTAAATAAGCTTACAAAGTTGCACCGCAAAATGTCTCAAGAATTCTTTCTTGGCCGCTGGGCTTGACGACCCCACAACAAGGAGTTGTATTTTTCTTTGAAGGTGTTCAGTTTGTGACTGAGGATTTTGCCTTTCATTTCAGAATAATACTGTTGTTAACCATGAGAACAATAGTATTGACAACATTCAGCCCTTGCCTTGAATGGAATAGCACCCAGTTAGTGTTATCAAGAAATTTCCAGAAGACTGAGCCCGAATAGAACAAAATTAATGATTCTAAAAGAACATATGCTGTTCTCTCTTAATCTGCTAGATAAGCAACAGAATCTATCAGTGTGGTTTATAAACCTACAGAAAACCAGGTGTTGAAATGGGAATTTTTGAAGGAATGAAAGAAAAGGCATAGTCCAAGGAAGAGAAAAAAAGAAAAGAAAAAGATAATCACAAGAAATGGTCCTTGTCCTTGGCTGACCTTGGGAATCACCTGGGAGCTTTTTTTTTTTTTTTTTAAAGATTTTATTTATTTATTTGAGAGAGAGTGAGTGAGAGAGATTTTTGAGAATGGCAAGTTGCTTAGAAAGATGGTCCATAAACAGGATGAAAATATTCTGGAATCCTAAAAGATGACTCAGTTTAAAAAATGAATCAGATTCTGGAGGACCTATGATTTTCCTGGTAGGATTTCTCTTTCAGCCCAATGAGTATTTAATAAGTGAGATATTGACCTGTGATGTTGTGATTTTTAAGAAATATGTTTGGTCTTCATCCATGCTTCCTGGCTCACAGGTCCCAAAACTTTTGTAATTTCCTGAAGGATAAGAGCAATGGGAACATCTTTTATTATAACATTCAGTCTCTTGTCCCCAGTTCCTGAAATTACTTCGGAGCCATAAAGGTGAAATGGGTGTCTTGTTATTCATAACAAGCCCCCTTCCACCACAGCTCTTTATGTTAATGAGGTGACTTTTGGAAAGCACCTACGGTGGGGGCTGGTTGCCAGGGGAACCAGAGGGGCTGGAAGTTGGATCCATCA